TACATGCAAAAAAAAAAATGAAACTAGACCACCAACTTGCACCATCATACACAAAAAACTCAAAAACTTAAACATGAGACGGGAAACCATAAAATATTAGAGGAATCCACAGGCAGCAAAATCTCAGATATATGCCGAAGCAGTATGTATCTTCACCGATACAGCTCCTAGGCAATGGAAACTAAAGAGAGGGGCAGATAAACAATCCAAACATGGCAAAATGTTAACAATTATTGAATCTCCATAGAGAGTATATAGGGTTTGTTGTACTGGGGTTTTTTTCCCCCAATTCAACATATATGAAATTTTTAATAATAAAAGTTATGAGGGATAAGAGAGAAAACCATTTAAAAAGCATTTAGCTTAACATTCATATAACATCCTGAGAGTGTCAGGATCTGAGCACTGGCAAGCAAAGCCTGTGATAGTGGAAATTGTTGCTCCGTGACAGGAGGGCAATGTGGCGATGTCTATCAGGTTTTGAAGAGCACCTATCCAGGGATGCTCACTGGTAGGAATCTGTCCTGAATACCTCTCCATGTGAAATGACATATACACTACATTATTCTTTACAGCATTACAGGTAATAGCAAAACACTGGAAATAGCCTATCCATATGTGTATCGGTCCAGACTGGGTTCACAAATTACAGCACAAACCATGAGTCAGCATGCAGCTTTTAAATGATCTACTCAAGAAATATGAGCGCTCTTTGGGAATTGGTATGAAAGATGACCATGTCATAATTTACATTTAAAAAGAATCAAGGTACAGAATAATGTGGTTGAGTAGCTGGAGATACAAGGAATGGGAGACTTTGTTTTCCTGTGTACTTCTTCCTATACCTCATGAATTCTGTACCATAGACAGACAGAATGTATTCCAAAAATTTCTCAAGTAGTGATTGACTGTAGCTGTAATGAACTCTTCATAGCTCCATGTTTTCATTACCAAACCTAATTACAGTGGAATTACAGCTCACCTGGGAATTAGGGGATGAAGTCAGTGCATACGGTGAAAATAGCACATAGTAAAAATTGGCCTTAAATATATGCCATACTAGACCTGCACACCATCTCAAAAATTCCAACACAGCTCATTTTCACTCCAGCACATGAACAGTTCACTGTTTCTTCCACTGACTGGTGGATAAAATATCTGGCTAGCACTCAGGCCTCATATGATGTTTAAAAATGTGTGTCTTAAAATACCATACTCACACTCATCACAGCTCGGTGAGAAGCACTGGGGAACTGAGGCTGAGGGAAGAGCAGATTTCCATTCCTACCTCACTCTTAATCCAGAACCTTCACTGTTTAGATTATTTTTCCCTTGTTTTTATCACCAGATGCAGAGAATTGAATTTGCATAAATGCACAGAAGATGTATAGCTATAACATGGAGTTTAAAAAAAAAACAACCATTTCAAAAACAGTACCTCTATCAATTAAACAAACCATTACAGTGGAAAAGAAAACCACAACCCAAGCCAAATGGACTCACTTGCTGACTGGAAACAGGTTGACCAGAACTCCCGGGTCAAGATGGAAAGAAGAGAGTGATAACCAACCCCTTGACCAACATCAAATACGATCTTATGACCTGAGTTGCAGCCCATTCCTTTAAAGTGGCATTCCCATAGCAGGATACACACATTCCTCAAGCTGTGCTCTGAGTAACCTTACAACTCTAGGTAAACTCAGCTACCACTGAGGCTAAATAAAAACTCTCACATCTTTCTATCCCTGCTCTCTCTGGTGAATTCCAGATCAATATTCCTACTAGATACTTCTCCTCCTAGAGGATTCACCATTAGGCAACTCAAATTCATCATAAACTGAATTCATTCTTTCTCTGCTCTTCTAGTATTCCCTATCTTGGAAAAGAAAAAAACATGTATCTTAGTGCCCACGCCAAAATCTACAATTTATCCTCTATTGCATCTGTGTCCTACTCTTATAAGCAATCTCCAAGTTCTGTAGATCCTACCACCTACATCTCTGTTAAGTCCACCCTCCCCCATCACGCCCACTGTCAATGCTTTGGTTCACCTTCATCATTGATCATTTGAACTAACTGGTCTCACTGCCTTGGTCTCCTCCATCCATCTTGCATACACCTGAAAAGCTAGCGGCCAAATACAAATTCAGTTCTGTTACTCTTTCTACTTTGAGAACAGAAGGAGCAAGAACAAGTCCCAAAGTAATGATGTAGTAAACAGAAAACAAGCACATTTAATAACATGATGTAATACAAAGAGCATGTGTCACCAGGTGTACCTTTTATGAGTACGTTCCTATTCTACCCCATACTTTAGGACCAAATTAAATAAGCTAATATGCGTTTCAATAGAAAGAGGCTACAGGGAAGCAAGGAAAACTCAGCTGCCTTCGTAAGTCCCAAATAAACACAAAATGGACCACAGCAGTGATAAAGGCACCTTACGGAGAACAAAAGGCTTCCCAGACCGAGAAGTCAAGAGTGCATTCAAGTTGAATTTATTAACAGGTCTAAAAACGAATGCCTAATCGGAAAAGATTCTGGAAAGTAAAAGCAAGCAGGGAGGCTGAAAGAAGAGGTTCTGCCACAGGGAAAACCACCCATCCCTAAAGCAAGCTGAATGAGGCTGTTTCAGTCCCCGTCCAGCAAGTGTCTCACTCCCCTGGCGAGTCCATGCCAGCTAGGCTGCCTGACTATGCTCTGACCTGGTAGGTAAAGTCTACCTACATGAAGAGAGAACATTCCAGTCATTTGGCTTGAGTCTCAGTTACCTCTTGTGTCTTCGTTGAAAAAATTAAACCAGAATATTAACTAGAACCAAGTAAGCAAATGTACTTATCAGAAAAGTTTATATTAAATTGCCAACAAGCACATATCATTATAAAATAATAAACTGGAATTCTGGCTTTCCACATCAGTCTCGCACAGCTGGTTAAGGTAAGCCCACCCCTGGATAACAGCCGCTTTGAGCATGCTGACCGGATCCGATTTCTAAGGATGTTAAACCAAGGACCAGACCGAAGATGAAGGCAAGTTCTAAAACTGCACATGTGGCTTTTTAAATGTAAATTAAAATTAAAAACTCAGTTCCTCGGATACAGAAACACATTTCCAAATAGCCCACTGTGGCTAGTCGCTACCATACTGAACAGCACAGACACTGAACATTGCCACTGTCACCACAAGTTCTCTTGGACAGCACTGCTCTGGAAGGTAACCTGAAGCAACCCGACTGTGAGCCCTCTTGGGAAACAGCCTGATAGCTGGTCCCGATGGCTGACAGAATCGGAGCGCTAGAGGAGGTAAGAGATACTCAACAGCAATTGTTTCCTTTTCCTTTGCAATGATTTCTTCACGTCAGAATGTACAGTTTAGACTTCAGGATTTGTGCCCCTCTTTTTATCGCTGGATGATAGTCTAAACTAGAGGCAGAATAGCAGAGGTTAGAAGCATATTCTCTGAAGCCAGACTGCCTGGAAACATATCTCATCTTTGTCTCTTACTAGATGTGTGACCTTGAACATGTTTAACTGCTCTATGCTTCAGTTTCCTCATCAGTAAACACAAATAATGGTACCCACCTCACTGGGTTACTAGGAAAATAAAATGAGTTTAGACATAGAAAGTGTCTAGAATTGTGCTCAGTACAGAGTCAGCGCCCAGTAAGTATTAACTGCTATTGTCTCTACCACCACCACCACCCTGATAGCTCTTCGGATGACAAGTGATAAAAATGCTCACCTAGGAGACATACTAGCAAATATAAAGAATTAAACTAGAAGAAGGATCACAGAGTCAGAGTGTCAGCTTACAATAAAAAGAACTTTTTAAAGATTAAAGTAACCTGGAGAGAACATTAAGTACCAAAAAAAACTCATGTTGTCAAGAGAGTTGGCTGACAATGTCTTACTTGTAAGGCTAACCAACCAGAGGTCCAAAAGCAGTCTGCATAATAAGCTACTGAGCTATTTAAATAACCAAAAACAACTAAAGAGGAACCGAAATAGAAACAAGTTTGAGTTCACCGAACCAAATGATACTTCCCTGTATAGAACTGTTGTGACGTTTAATCATTGCCTCTCTTATACTCCCTCCGTTACCTTTGTGTTTGCTTGATGGACTGACTGAAGATTTTCTAATTTTCTCATTAAGCGGGGAGAGCACCAGATATAATGAAAATACCGTCCCACACAATGACCGACCCTGTGTTCTTTCTAGTGGAAACCTATTGTAAAACCTTGCTCTTGCGGAGAGGCAATTTGAAAACCCAAAGCTGAAGTACAAGCTTCAGCAAACGTAGTCAGGCGGAGAGGCACATACACAGCCCCATTTACTTGCTGTAGGACCCTGGGCTACTTGCACTTAATGCTTATGGGCTTCATGTCACCGTTTGTAAAATACAGGTACAGCATGTGCCAGCTGAATAAGAAATAGCACATGCCTACAACAGTACCTGGCACTTAGCAGCTGCTCAATAAACAGTTGTCCCAGTTAATAAATCTCCCTGAGAAGACCCTCCAAGAGTCCTGAGAATAAAAGACTACTTTACGTGGTAACTACAGAAACTATTTTGACCAGGTTTTAACTATGAATTATGAGATAATGCCCCAAAATTATCATTTATTGTCCATATTTTACAAGCTATTCCTTAAGCAAAATTCCCTGTAGGACCATTACCATAAACCATTCAAGCCTATAATAAAAATAACTGCACTTCTTATGTTGCAACAAAGTTTTTACTAGCGCTTCTGCCACATGCACCTTCACTAATCCACATCCAAACACAGGCACTAAGCACACGCAGCTAATATTTCTTCCTTTCCCTATGAATGCAAAAAGTAAAAAAAAAAAAAAAAAATGTTTTTAAGTTTCTTTCAGAAAGTTGAGTTCCACAAAACAAAACAATACAGGGTAATTGCTTACCTGGACAATATTTTGTACTTCAGATCCACCAATCCAGAATGAATGGGGGGATTCCCTTTCAGACTAGTCTGAGAAAAGACAGCAGTCAAGCAGCTTCCAAGATCCTTTCCGTTTACTGTATCCAGCTTTCTTCAACAAAATCCCAAACATGCACTTCGGTAACTGTTGAAAGACAGAAAGCAATCCATACACCCACCATGGCACCAGTGGCACAGGACAGCCACCAAGAAATGGAAGGAAGGGTAATGGAGCGGTGGATCCGAGGCACAGAGTACAACCTGAGTAAGCTATTTGGCATAAAAGGTCTGCAGCAGCATTCCTCGCCTCTGAGCTGAGAGAAGGGTAAGAAATTCTACATGGCAAAGGCTTACATCCCTAATATCAATATTTACTCTGATAAATAGCACGCAATTTCCAAATGCGAGCAGCTAACTGGTTACACTATCATCCACAGAAACTGTGCCAGACCATTCAGCTACAATGAACTTCTCCATTTTCTAAGACAGCTCCCTCCACCATTACAAAGTTTGTCAGCCAAAACTAACCATCAGGGAGGGCTCAAATACCTCCCCCAATAAAGATAACTACTTAAGCACCTAACAAGAAATCTTTTCGTTTGCTACATAAGACATCAAATCTACACATTACCCAAATCTTCAACCCTCAAATAAAATATGGGCTTTTTAAAACACATGGCATAATTTTAAGAGTGTACTTTGATTCAATAAAGGTCAATCCCTACAATAGGCAGTCACTGAGTAAACTAAGGGAAATAGTAAAGAACACTAATAAATAATTTACTAGCTGACACCTTTAAAAACATAAGCCCAGTCCACATTTTATGAGCATTCTTTTACTACACACCAACTTTTCCATTAGACTGGAAATTCTAAACAAACTGTAAGGGAGAAAGAGAAAGGCATTCAACAGAAGGACATAGATAAACACTTAAAAATCAAAGACTGTGAACTTATTGCACATAAATTTTCTACTTCAATTGCCACACTATTGCCAAAATATTCCTGCAGTAATTAAAATACCTAGCTTTACTGAAGGACTACTAATGGGCCAAACCCTTTACAGTCATTACTCGTTTAATTCTCAAAAAAGATGAGAAGAAATAACTTGCCAAACTCCCACATCTACTAGTTAGTATGGCCGAAGCCCTTTTCGCAGAGCACAGCTGCACCCAAGTCCAAAGATTAGAAAGGCCAAGATTCCGGAGCAGATGAAACCAAGCTTTCCTCTCAAAGGTCCCTAAGTTAATTAACACCAATGGAGAACTAAAACAGTATAGAAGAGGAAATATTTCAGCCTAGCTGAATGAAAATACAACTGAACCAGATGAGCCATCCTGAACAGCTAATTCCCGAGATCTTGCCACTTAAGAAAGCATTTCATTAACAAAGAGCCATGTAATTCTAAGGCCTTCAGTATTAATGTTAAGACAGAACACAGTGTAATGTTGCCCAACTAGTCTTTCTTTATAAGCAAAGACTGAGTCTCTGACCGAGAATCTCAAATCTAGTTGAAACTGAAGAATTTTTAAATTCCTAGGTTTGTTCATAAATCATAGGCAATGACTAAAGATGTTTGGATTTTTCAGGTTGTAGGCAAAGCAACTGAAGTGACTGAAATACCAGTCGATGATTAACCTCCCCAGAATAATCAGATGGAAATATCTTAATACCCAAAACTTAAAAGATATCACATACTAACTAGTAAGTAAAATCTCAAGAATGAGTGCTCAGATTTTTCCCATTAAGTGAGATTACTCTGGAGCCAAGGAATATAATAGCAACCCCGATTTGATAAAAGCAGCTATAGTGAGCTATGGTTAGTAGCTAACTAACTACTAAGACAACATAACAGGAGTCTGTTTTTCAAAGTGTAACTTAGTGCTACAACAAATATGCTGAACAACTGTAGCAAAACACAACCAGAACAATTTGGCCAAGGAACTCCTTTCTGAACCTCTAGAACTGTCAGGCCTTTTCCCTGTGTTAGGGAGTTAATTTTCCCCTCTTCCCTTCAAATGAACATTTACTGAATGCCTAATGGGTGGAAGGGCTTAGGCTAGAGCAGCCGTGGGCAAACTACGGCCCCAGCCGGATCCGGCCTGTTTGAAATGAATAAAACTAAAAAAAAAAAAAAAAAAAAACCCCACCCCTTTTTTTTAAATG